AGGACTTAACAAAACCATTGAAATCACAAACACAGGTCAGAGAATCAACAGTTAAAACACATGAAGAATATAAAGCACACACAGAAGAAAATGTCCATACATGTTGTAGAATGCTAAAGTGTCCTGATCATCACCAATCCTTTCTGTTGGACACTAACTGTCCAACAAGACCCTCCTGCATCGACAAGGAAAAACTCTTAAAAAACCCAGTGGGAAAAAGTGAGAAACCTTGGGGAGAACTAGGGAAACTTTACTGCCCTTTATAAAGCCACTTTACTGCCCATCAAAACGTCACTTTACTGCTGTCACCTTATTGCACTGCTTACTGCATATTGCTCTATTCTTTACCTCTCCTCTTTGGCTGTTGCACCCAGCCAAAGCAATTTCCTAGTCCGTGACTTCCTGTTACTAACATGGCAATACAAATTATTGTGATTCTGAATAAAAGATCTCTTAAAATCTTTATCTTTATCAGTGCATGCTGCCTCTCTCTCTCCCCCGCGCAACTGCCTGCTGCCTGACGTACGCAGAGGAAAAGCGAAGGCCGGACTTGAATGAAATGTATCACTTAAAAACGCGGCATAACACAGTGTAGTGTTACATGAAACAACGATTTGGAACAGAATTGGCCAAACCTCTGATCAAGGCTGCGTTTTGGCACAACGCGGAATTGCGAGGTTTGTCATTCTCATACCAACACTGTGATTGCGATGTGATTTTTGATATACTGTATGTTTAAATAGTCTAACTTTGTGCAGAATAAGAATAACCACATTTGAAGCAATTACAACACAATCCCACATTTTTCACAGTTCTAAAGTGAAACCAGACATAGAAACGCTTGAATTGAGTAGTTTTTATCTTTTCTCACAACATTCTTATAGCCAGACCCGAGTTGTGCAACACATTTTAGAAGTTTATATGAATTAAATTGAAATTGAATTTAAATAATACTTCTGCCCAACAACAAGATGAAAGATCAGCTCCATTTCAAACTGAAAACTTTTAGAAGTTGTAAAAATATTGAAATTGTAAATACATCAACACATGGAGAAACTGTTGAATATTTATATGTATACACTGTATGTGCAGTCGGCAAAAAAGTACTTATGAGTGTAGAATGTATATTTCAGCTCAAATTCATGAATGACATGGAAATTAGTGACTTGTTCTGTTGACAAATCTTCAAATGAATCTCAAATCAAGAGACATTTTCATATAGTCGAGTGACATCCCAGTCCTAATAATTGCAGTCTTTGCAATTTGGTAATTACGACCACGTGAATTGCGATTGCGAATACTATTTGAGTGCATATTTTACACAACTCGTCTCCACCAGCCGTGCGCTTCATTGATCTCTGGTGTGGCCTACACTGAACATCTGCACTTATCTGGAGGAGCGCCCCCTACAGGTCAGTCTGGCCCTCCGCCGGCTGCACCGTCAGCCACATACCGATGGGGGATTAGCTGCTACATTTACCCACAGCCGCTTCTCTCTCCCTCTCAAACGTGTGTGCTCAGAGGCTGCATGTTTGCATGTTCTGCTCGTATCTTTCTGCTTGTTTACAGTGGATGCTTCCCTCAGTGCTGCGCTCTTATGCCCGCTGGGGGAAAGCTGTCTTGTTCTGGGTGGCTGAGCCGGAGGTGCTGCAACTCAATTTGTACTACACGCCCCTGGAAAAAAAATGCTGGGAATGAGTCATAAATGAATGAAATATGATTGATAAATAACGTAATCCCATACAGTGTGTAAGGTTTAGTAAGTGTGTGGTTTTACAGCCTTGAACTATAGAGTTGCTACTTCACCGGTTTTGTTAAGTTATTTTTAGAGTAACTTTCTGTTGCATCAGAAATGGGATGTGAAAGGTGGAGCCTTGAAAGCCCTAAAATCAATAACAGAAATAAAAATATATAAAGAAAAATATGTAGGTCCCTGTATTAGAAGTATCTTGCTGTGTTGGTGCCTAAAGAGTAAACTCAAATGTAAGAAAGTAAGTCAGTAAATTAACAATTGAAAAATGTAACGGGAAAGTACATATAGAATCAGAACACATTTATTGCCATTTGCAGAAAAAACTACATTGGAATTCAAACAGGAGACACCGGGGGCACCAACACCACAAAGCACACACACACACACACACACACAAACAAAAATAAAAAATAAAAATAGCGAGACACAGTGAGGCACATTTAAAACAGTGTGCCACAGTGTGCCTTATAGTAAACTTAAATCGAGCTAGCTAAAAAAAATCTGTGTAATCTAACCCTTCACCTCATACTTAAATTGCTATTGAAAAACATTACTCCAATTTTAGTTTTGCACGTTCTTAATAAAGCTAATTATCGAGCATGGACGGCTTCACAGCAAGAAGGTCCTGGTCCTTTGATTCCACCTCCACCTCCAGATGGGGCGGTTTCTGTGTGGAATTTGTATATTCTCTGCAAGTCTGTGTAGGTTTCCTGCTGGTTCTCCTGTTTCCCCATGCTAAAAACATGTACAATAGTTCTGAATATAATGAGTGAATGAGCAAATGATGGTGATGGACAAAGTTTTTCTCTGGATTCCAGAGACATACAATGAAAAGTAAAGTAGCTCAGTAAATGTTTGTGTCACTCTCACTATTCTGGGCTGTAAAAATCTATGGTTTAGGGCTCTCTGTGATCCTGGTGTTTATATTTTGATATCGCGAGAGTAAATCCAGATATGAGCCATATGAGGAAATACCAATCCTTAAATGCTTCCCCGCAAATGAAGAAGCAACACATAGCCCCTGTTACAATATGAAGCTAACAACACGATAGAAATGCCCATAGAAGAAAATTGGCTCCAGCTTATGTTCAAATTGGCTTCTTCCTCATTAAGGCTAACACTCTACTCCTGATATGCAGTACGGTCGATGTGTAAAGCGCTGTGTGTGACCTCCATCTGTGAAATGCGCAATATAAATAAACAGGACATAATAACAAACAGACAAAAATACTTACATTATTGTATTCTGCCCTCAGTAAAGCAATAGAGGCACATAATATGAAACTACTAATATTGAAACCATATCAATATTTCAAGAGCCACAACCTGGTAAAAAATAAGGATTTGCTTCATACCGTATGTTGAAAAGAAACTTTTTCAAAAATGTATGTATCAAAATATAGATCATTATGATGTCAGCTAAAGTGGAAGTGCCTTGCTCATGTGCCTTTAGCAGAGAGATCTAATTTTAGTATTCGAAAGTTTTGAAAAGCGCTTCCCGGTGAGACATAAGGAATGCGAAAGTGAGGTCAAGTTAGAACTGAGGAAATTATTACAAATGAATTTAAGTGGATACAGTATTGACCTTTTCCTGTTGCAACTATGGCAACAGTGTAGTTATAAATCACCACAGTATAGAATCCCATCTGTTTGTGCTTCTGTCTGTAAATAAAGGGTAGATGTTGAACGCTGATGTGAGCTCAGATGCCTCCAGGCCAAAACCACAAGTTTTCAAAGCAACCATAACATTCTACTTGAACATAAGGAGGCTGTAGGTATCCCAGCATGCACTACGTGGGCATGAACATCCCCTCAGGTCATCCTTAAACTTCCACTCTGCGGTTTAAGCATCAGAGACGATTCCACGGCACCTGGGAACAGAAGACTACAAGAGCAGGGCACGGAGGACAAGCTTCTGCCCTGTCAAACAAGCTTACGGATGAGAGGGAACTCTACCGTTGTGTTCAGATATTTGGCAGACAATTGTCAACACAAACATGAACTGTGGAAGGAATACACCAGCTGTGTCTTTTCACTCGCTCTCATTGGCTCTCCGTCTCTCCTCTTATAAAATATGGGCATGAATACCTGTGTAAAGGTCTAGTTCAATGTTTTGCGCTGGACGGCCCAGTCTGCAAATTATTTTGTCCTGATTTGCTTCAAAAGGTGTAAAATTATACAGAATAGGTTGTGTTCATATGGTTCCTATATACGGTAACTCTATGGGACGGTACGGTGGCGCAGTGGTAGCTTGCTCTCCCTGTGTCTGCATACGTTTACTGAGAATTACAGAGAAATTAGCTCAAAACTAAACATAGACTTAAAGAAACACTTTCTATGTGCTTTTATAATTTGTATGCTCTTATAGTTGTACTGCGTTTTTATATGTTTGTCTCTGGCACACTGGCTTTTTACAGTATGCTCAAGAAATTCAATGTGTTTTTTAAACTGCAAATGGCCAATACGTTTTGAATAGATGGAAAATACTGATCTGCTTACTCAATGAAGCCCAATAGGGAAGTGCTCATGGACAAGGTCTTGCTGTAACTCGCTCTGGCTCCTATTGACTTACATTGTAGAGTAAACTACTCTCGCTCAGTTATCGTTTCACAATCACCATTTTACACTTAAAAAATCTGGGGTTTAGGGCCCTCCACGATCCTGGTGTTAACCGCTTGATATTGTCCTTGTAAATCCAGATAAGAGCCATACCCCGCTCCCATCTCTGTATGGAGTGAGAGACATATGCCCAAAAAAAAACAAAAAAACAATTGTAAACCGCTTTGTGACTCTGGTCTGTGAAAGGCGGTATATAAATAAAGAAGACTTACTTATATACTACTTTACCAATCAAAAGTCTTCATTTTCTGGGTTTGTTTTAGCATAATGCTAGCGATATGTTAGTTTGCGTCTGCCCCTGTTACGGCTCATTGATATGATTGAGACTCGAAGTTTGACATTAACAGTACATGTGAATATAAGATTTCAGCTGCCTTCCACCACAACTTTCAACTATAGGCTTATTGTAATGTTGTGATGTCACATTAATGCCCTTTTGTATGTCACCCCAAAACCGCTGCTTCTCATCCAATCACCTGAGCAAAAATAGGCTAAATAAAGCTGAGCGTAGTTAAAAATATCCATACTTGTGTGAAATCTGTGCTCTCATTTTCTGTTTTCCCCAAACACCTGTCTGGCAGATGCACAATGTTTCCGGCACAGCGGCCACACTTTTCCCAGGGCTCACCTTCATAGGTTCCACTCTCTAACAGGGCACCACTTTGCTCCAATTCCATAAACCGTTCCACGCTCACAAAGTTGTAGTCCACCCCCGGCACTTCCCCTTCTTTAGGCTGCCTCGTTGTACCTGCACAGAGAAGAAGAGACGAGAGGTCAGACCACAGCTAAATAGGGCACTTGAGGAAGAAAGAGGAGGAAGTTAGTTAAAGAGCAGCGGATCTGAAGAGTGTTTACAAAGTGTTTTTGTCAGGGGAAGTGGGAGGGAGCCGGAAATGGAGAGAAAGAGAAGCCGGGAGACTCATCATCGTACAGTATGTAAGGGCCAAGTTTCAAGATTCAGAAAACTATTGAGTTACAGAACAAAATGTAAGCCTATTTGCAATATATTATTAGCTACACCAACGAGGATGAAGCACGGCCAGGAAGTGAGTGTTTTCACCCGAGAGATACAAGGATAAGGTTGTCTTAATCGGGATTGGTACATGTTAATTACCTCCGCCTCTGCCTTCGAGGAGAGGTCATGTAATATGCTGTGTTTGTTTGTCTGTTTATTAGATACTTATTTCATGCCTGAACTTAAAAAAAGTTATGTGTGGATATGTACGACGTTTTTTAGGAAACCTCAGTAATGGCACAATGAACATGAATGATCTTGATGCAGGATGTATTTTTAAAGAAAACTAAGGAATATGTTTCTGCTTTCTGAGACTGTGTGGTTTGGTAACATCACAGACAAAGAAAGGAGAGCTCTATCCAAGGTGCTCCGCTCTGAAAGAGGACTGTGAGCTGTGAGCTGCCTGTTCTGGAGGTTCTTTATAAATCTAGACTTAAACCGAGCTTTTAGAAAAAATCAATGACTCTTCTGGCCACCCTGGAAAAGCCTTGTTCCAGCTTCTTCCCTCTGGCAAAAGATATCGTTCACTGAGATGCAGGACATCTCGATATGCTAACAGCTTCTTTCCACAAGCTGTTGAAGAGAGCACTTTAATGAGCTTGCACTGGTATTGTTTTAGTCGATCCATTTCACAGTGTCAATTGTTTACTGTTTTGTTTGTTTCATCCCTGTACTTTTAATCTTGTTTTATTTATGAACTTGTCTTGTGCACACTGAGAACTTTTGCAAATGTATTCCAATGTGGTTTTACTGCAAATGGCAAATAAATGAATCTGAATCTGTCTTCAATAAGTATAAAATAGCTTCAGAAATAGCTTCAATATTGTTGCAGGAATTTTTCATCCAACTGTGTGACTGAGATCATCACCCTATCTCTAAGGGAGCGCCCAGCCACCCTGACCTTGGTCTGTGAAATGCACTATATATAAATAGAGATTATTTACTTACCACTGTGCCTATACTCTTTATGAGTGTGGTTGTAATGTGACAAAATGTTAAAAAGTGCAAGTTCTATTATCACAATTGCTACCCCTGTAATTCGAAGGACGTAGGAAAAAGAAATCAATTCATTTAATAATACACTTGAGAAAATCTTGATAGCAGTGACGTGCTGTTTTATTGGGCTACTTCTATCATTCAAAAAAATCAAATTATATTGTTCACGTGGTGTTTTCAATACAGACATCAAAATCAGAAAGTAGCATAGCAACAAAAGGAGTCTCAATGAAAAGGAAAATACAATACATGTACTTTTAAAATCAATACTAAAGTGACAGTCCATGCATTACATGACTGCAATATCTTCATTTTTGTTGATTATCTACATAACACATGAAGTAGAATCCAATTTAAAACTATACGAAATAATGAGGCCATAAAACTGCGAGGAATGTAATGGGAAATAGCTGTCACAGAGCCGACCTACCAACATGGAGCTTATTGCTATAATGAGAGAATCGATATGCCATTTTTCCTGCAGCCGTAATTCAGAACTCCTTACACTGCAAACAATGGAGCGCCGATTGGAGTATTGTCGAAACAGCGGGAATACACCAGGCACACATCGCTAAGAAGCAATTACGGGCGTTTCTTTGAGATCTCCATCAGGTGAGCTGTGCCCAGAGGTAGGGGAGATGGTGGAGTTTAACAAGGTGGCATGGGTCTTAAAAGAGACATCGACTCTCATAGTTCCTACGTCAAAACCCGAGCTGGAGTTGTTTGTAGATCGATCCACGCAGATATCAGGAACTTCCGGTACAAACATCTAACTATAAGTGAGAACTACTCCTCACAGGTTCCAAATCAACTCTATCTAAATCCCCAACCCTCAGTATTTGCATTAATGGCTGCCTGGTTTCCATGTCTTCACACGTAAAAAGTTTAGATGTTATACTGGACTCCACTCAATAATACCATTTGTACAGCCTTTTTCCACCTACGCAAGATCTCCCAACTCCACCCATCTTTCACCCGACACTCAGGTCCTGGTTCATGCATTTGTCACTGGACTATTGTAACGCCCTTCTCACTGGTTTCCCCCAAAAACACATCTAACGTCTCCAACATGTCATAACTATGCTGCTAGGAACATCACCCAAACAAAATCAACAGAGCACATCACTCCGGTTCTCATCCAACTCCACTGGCTCCCCATATCCCACAGAATCCAGTATAAGCTCCTCCTTCTCACAATCAAGCTCTCCATAACCTGGCCTCCTTATACCTGAGTGACCTGCTCCACCCACACACCCCGTCCCGCTCTCTCCGCTCCTCATCTGCTCCTTACTGTCCGATCTGTACGATAAAAATAGCCACGATGGGGGCGAGAGCATTCAGCCACTCTGCCCCTAAACACTCTACCGCTTGACCTGCGACAGTTAGACTCTTCGGTCATTTTCAAATCACATCTCAAAACCTACCTTTGTAAACTGGATTATTTTTTGTAATTTTACAATGTTTTATATTCTGGACTTTTAATAATGTGTGTGATGTTTTTTTTTTCAAATATATTGTAAGGCGTTGTTGGGCGCTATGAAATAAAATGAATTATTATTATTATAAGCGAAATTGGCAACATAGCAGCTTCTTTAAAGTTGAACTTCACTACAAACAAGCAAAATAAGTATCTAATTGATGCAAAAATAGCTACATTTCTTTAGCGTTGACGCGAGTATAGCCAGACTGTGTTATTTTCCTGATTCAAGTAGAGTCACTCCCCAGCGTTGTCTGACGGCCTAATTCAAGTGTTCCAAAACTCCTTGTTCATTTTGTTGTCTGATGTATTCTATGACCCCTTGTCGACAAACCGGCTTTCATCACTGTGTAGTTTAACCAAAAGATGTCTTCCCATCTCCGGGTGAATGGAGAGGTCCTTCTTCAAGTGTAGGAGTTCAGACATATCAGTGCTGCGTCTCCAGTATTAGACTGTTCTGCTAAAGTGAGAGCTGAGTCGAAAGGCAGAACTCTCACTTTAGTCAATCTCTATGTTTCTCCCCTAAAAGAAGAAATATTAGGCATTATTTATGGCCATTCAAAATTATAAAGAGACCTTTTCTGTTTTTAGAATATGAAAACATTTCTTCTGTAGAAAATATATGGTGAAACAAATATCAAGGTTAAATAATCCGGCTGCCCTATGTTACCACCAGAGGGAGGGGTACAAAATTGAAAGTAACCTGCTGCAAACACTAAATTGTAATGCATGTAATTTCATTGAGTGTGATGCCATTGTGGTATAATGTCAAAACACTATTAAAGGAATGAAACAGGAGCTTTCAGACAGAAGGGGCATGTTTGAGCCAAAAGTTCCTGCTCATAGAAAGAAAAAGAAACTCTAGGTTTGTTTTTGACGATGAACATTTTTGTAATATGGTTAAAAGTAATGACTGGGAGCACAAGATCGCAGACAAGGGTGATGAGCTCAGTCACACTGGAGGAGCTTGGAGTAGAAAAGTTGCTCCTCCATGGCGTAGAAGCTCGGGAGTCTGCAATGCATGTCTCTATGGTAATCAATATTGTTTTACTTAGAATCTATAATTTAAAAAAATAACTAATTCAAATCTAGCTGTATCTTTGCCAAAAAACACTCCATAAAGGTGTACTTTATTTATCCCCTTAGGGCAAATATGGATTTAGGGTTCAATTATGGATTTGCCCTTGATATTTGTTTTCCACTATTGAATGGTGGGTCAAATGCAGAGGACAAATTTCCCTACGGCTAAAACAAAGGCTAATCTAATTTACATTGGTTGGCTTGGTTTTCTAAATTGGTCCAACAAGCCATTTATTCTATTACATTAGTTATCATAAACTATTATTACAAAGACAAGCCAACCAGCCCTGAGGAGGCTTTTCCCCACCGTGGCCGCCTGCTCAGGGACTATTATAGCAGGTAAGAACAGCCTCTGTGTCTCGCGTGTCAAGCTGCCGCACTGTGACCATAATTGTGGAGTAGGTAGTTGGGAAATTAGAACGGTGGGGGGTAGATGTGCGTTCGCCAAAGCTCGTATCATCCTCACGCTCTTCTCCTGCAGATGTAATCACTACATCTGCAGCGGTCATGTGTCACCACTCTGCTCGTGCTCTGATGAACCAGGGGTCTCAGCAGCGGGGCAGAGGTGCTGACTGATGCATGAATAAGAGCCACGTCACAATAACAAAGGCAGGAGGTCTTCTGCTTGAACTGTGTAAAGGATGTACTTTTGTTTTATCTCAGGAACTAGTTTTAACGGATCGTTGAATGCATCCTTTATGTGAACTACTTTAGCAGCATATTCAGGCAAACTGTGTCCAGGCCTTTAATGGTTGGAATAATGTGTCTTTTGCAGGGATCTCTGCACAATTGTAATAACTATAGACCGTGGAACATCGCTAAATTAGAAAATCTGATGGGATTACAGTAAAATGATTGAACGATTGTGGTGAGGTACAAAGATAATGTGTGATACGGGACAAATGTAAGAAATAAAATGATGTTGATGTCCATACCAATCATTTTACAATGGGATTCTTCATGTGATACAAATTGTATTTTACAGGACTGTATTGATAATCAATGAGTTGGGCCATTATTCTTTTGATTTCAATTGATACAAATTAGTTTAGTTCCAGTAGTTTTTACATTTAACAAAACAAAGCTCGGGTGATGCCCCTGGAGAACCTCTCCCTAGAGATGACAATAGTTGGTGCAGAGGTTAGCACTAGTGCTTCACAGTACAATGGTCTTAAGGGAA